ATAAACATCAATAGTAATTTGCAGTAACAATGAAACTAATTTTCATTTGTCTCTCACTTAGAAGTAGAAATGTGAATAGAGAGAAAGAGCAAGGGAAAAAGAGAAAGACAAGACCATTCTTCGGAAAGTCCACCATGTTGCATGCCAGCAGCCGAGTGCCATCACACCCGACTATACGCTCGAGTTTCTTAATGTAATTTTCCTTTTTTGCCTCCATTCGCTTTACGAGCGAAACTTTTACCTCCTCTCTTTTCCGGAACCGTGTCTTTCCTCGTGCCCTCTGCATCGCCCCCACTTTTCCAATGCCGTTCTTCTCTCTATCACTCTGTGGCCGATCTCGGAACATCTCGTTTCTCTCATTCTTTCCCTCCCTTTCTCTCACTTCTTTTTTAGGCGTTCGAGCGGCCGTTCGCACGAGTTTGCAAACTTTCATGATTTCACGTTGCTTCCATCCTTCCTTTATGCTTCGCTTGCCCCCTCTTTCTTGTCACGAAGTTCAGTTTCGTCTGTGGGGTGAAATCTGTAGCGTCGTTACGTGTCTAATTTACAAGTTAAGAGATTGCAACTGAGATAAGTCATTATAATATAGTCTCATAATTCATAGGTGCGCCATGCTGTATCGTTCATCGACATGTATAAAACTGAAACTTGCTGGAGGTGTCTCTATTCTATCTAATAACAAATTCATCAATATTAAACTGTATGTGAAAGATTTTCAGAGACGCGTGCACTTGTAACATTTTTATACGTTTTTAAATAAAATCTTCTAAGATTATTGTTATCAAACTAGCAGAAACATCGGAAACTGGTTTCTATATTTATTGGTTTGATCTGGAGATTTTACGAGCGAGGAACTGCTATAAATGCTGTATTAATACGTGGTTCATTAGATGACGTCATTTTACGACGTATGCTGCTATTTTAGTAAGCAATAACTGAAGGATGCGTCTTTTGATGATAGAGGAACTTTTCAGCCGAATGTAACGCATACTGTATTTCATACATAGAAATGAGATTTTGAAAAATAAATGATGTCACTGTTATTTTTAAAATCGTCAAATTGCATCTAATAAATGTACCTATAGCGCTTCTTATTTAATTATCGACATTCTTCAGAAAAGACAACCACTTCCTGAGCGTATTTACTATGAAAATAGAAAAATTTCTTTCATATCATTATTCAACTGCGATTATTTAAATAGGAATTTTGTGAAAATAAGATTTACAAAAATAAGAATCAAATTAATCTTGGTATTTAATACATTATATAGAAAATATTTTTGTAATGTCACGCATTTTACATGTAGATAGATTCAATGATATAAGGCAAGACATTTACAAATTACTACATAACAATATGCAAATGAAAATGATTTGCTGCTTGATTCTAGAAGGTAATCAAATTATTCTTTTTGATGGAACCACTTGATTTATGCTTATATTAGCAAGGACACACTCCTGCAATAATCCATATTCAACAAAGCGCTGTGTGTATATGTATTACGGCTAATTCGTCCGTTGAATTTTCACCTTGAATACTTCCACTCCTACTCATCGTTTACCTCCATCATCGCGTGGCAAATGGACGGAATAAATGTCCCGGCAAGGATGGTTAAGCCATGTCTCATAAGGCGTTTAATCGCCTCGTCTCGGTCGAATATACGCACTTCATAACTATGCTTTTTCAGTAATAAGCTTCTAAATTTTGTTCTCCCCCCATCTCGCTGATTGGAGCAGCCAGATTCATCGTGGTTATACGCGTCAAAGTTAATTTCTGCGGGGGATTTTTTTCCCGAACGCGCGGTCCAGCGAATTGCACGACCCTTCGTACTTTTTTCGCACCCGAGCCTTCCTGAGCGATTGAGTTAAGTGTCTCGACAAAGATAACCAGGGGGGTCTAAGCTATACGAGGGGTGAGGCACCTCGAGGATCCCGGTGTAATCCTTATTATTATGAGAATCCCATATTCGAGCCACGATTCGAGGGATATAGCCGCTCCCTAGGCTGGAACGCCCTCCCGGTCGCGTGTGCTAATTGCTGAAATGTTATTTACGATTCCAGCCGTCGCGACGCTCGACTGGCGCACACGTTTCTAGAATGGGAATGCGGTTAACCAATCCTTAGACGTCGAACACGCTTTATGACGCTTCCACTTGAAATCGCGAGACTCGATCCGGTGAATATGCCCTACGCAGGCGTGCAACGAATTCACCAGTTCAATACTCGTATAATCTCTATGATGTAATTTCGCTTAATATCGTTTGATGCAGAAATTCATGAAAATATATAATCCGATTTTTCAAAGCGTCACTAATGTGAAAAAGTCTAGGCATCGATCTAGGCATTATTTGATTTAAATATTTATAGAATAATTATAAAATGTTATTACAGTTCTTGATTATGCTTTGCTGGTATTTGTGATTAAAAAATCTCTCAGTCTGTCATACGAATAATGAAGCTTATCTAGCTTATTTATATACATATATTGTGCAAATATAGTAGCAAATTCTATTTTATTGATCTAAATTATTTTTCGTAATGGTTATATTCATTTTTCTTGAACTAAATGGAGAAATTGGAAAACTTCTCATAATGTATAAGTGAAACAAAGCCTGAAGCACGAAATTTCCATTTAGCTTCACACAGATTCGAACGTTAATTGCTAACTATTCTTTACGATGCTGAGCGCGGTAGCGTTAGTAAAGTCGCACGTTTCTGGAATGGGAATGCGGTTTGCTGGTTACCCGGGCGACGAACACGGTTTATTACGTTTGCATGCGAAATTGTGCATTCTCCGCAGTTCTGAGTCAAGCAATTGGTACTCCAGTTGCGAGTAACAGTTATAACGTCGTTCCGCTGACGTTCGAATGGCGATATATTCCTGGTATGACGACGAAACGATCCAATAATATTTTAATTTTTATAATGTTGACTACGCACGGGCTACTGATTGCCTATTTATTCTATAAAAATCAAGAACACGCGTAATATTACGGTTGGTAAAAATAATACAGGAACAAAGATTTACTGTGTGATCGAAGATTTATTTAAAAATTTTAGTTTTATAGTGAGATATATAAAATGTTATTTTTTGCTAAATTTTTTATAGCGAGATATATAAAATGTATTTTTTTTTGCTAAATAAAATATACTTTATAAGTAAGAGTAAATCGCACTAGAAAATTACAGGCTAAAGGCCTACGAAAGGCCGGTAATGGCGCTTGAGAGAAGACGGGTAATGACAGGTAAGTGTTTGCACAACAGGTATCATAAGCAACTGCTATTGTTATATTGCTCCTAATTGCACTTACCGCGCCGTAAAAGAAATTGTACGGAGGCCGATTGTTTCCATGAAGAAATTTCCCTTTTGAAGAAATTTCATTACTATATTGGCTGCAGATCCGGAAAGCTACATACAGTACAATATTTTTAGTGTAGATTGTTTTGCCACGATGCTACACAATTTATCAACAATAATAAATAATATATTAATTAATAATAATACTTGTGCGAAATTTACGAATCGATATACTTTTAATTATGTGAGGGAAATTGTTTCTTTAGTTGTATCCTATAATCAACGAATATCAGAAATGTTTGCTGTCGGAGCACTTCTATCTGCATTTACATATATATATATTTGTCATGATTGTATAGTCACATTTAATTTACGCTAGTAATACACATATTTCTGAATGTTTAATGATGCTAATAACACAATTCCGAATATACGGGTAACCTGAAGAGAACAGACATGTCTATTGTGCGTACATTGTAATTATAATTGCATGGACATACGAGACAAAAGCTAGCATCAAACGTTCTTCCAATTTACGTCGTCTAAGTGTGTCATCGAGGATCAGCATGCGGGTATCTTCAAACGATTTATAACACTTTATACGTCGGGTTATAATCACGTAAGAAGCCTATTCTGCGACTCGAACACCCGTTGAATTGCAGTTGTAGAAAAAAAAAGACAAAGGGTACAGCTAGTTAAACGCTCGACGGTTGAAGCGATATTATTTACGGCACTTGCGCGCGAGTGACAAAAGTGACCGGGATCATCAATCCGTTCACACGTCGGTGTAATCGCGCAAGTCCGGCGGGGTCGCAAATTACCCGTCATTGCCGAAATGCCAGCCGCGATAAGGATCAACGCGAGAAATTACAAATGCGAAAGTTAACACGATCGTAAATGCGAATAACCTCGTAAAACGCGTTGTTAGAAGAGATTTATTGAGGTATTCGGGACTCCGTCGCACGTAAATCTCCAAATTATAAGTTACATAAGTAGAATCCCGGCGCACACAGAGGCCGTCACCGATCTCGATGTCGGCCTCAATATCGGCGGATGCCTCAGATGTGGCATTCATATATATATAGTGATATTAATATTTACGTGTACATATATATACGTTCGATCCACACAGCCGCGAAGTTATCAATACATCGCACAGAGATTAATTCTGATATTTACAAGATATATCTATGAAAGAGATACGACGTAAAGTGTTGTAAGACTTCGCCATGATGAACGATTCGGGGCATGACGGCTAAATGCTAGAGCAACCCGACGGCAATTATGAGAAATTATGTACAATTTTTGTAATCGACTGAATATAATGCGCTGATAAAATAAATTCACTGTCGAAACATCGAGCACACGAATTCCGAGAGTCGCATGTACTTTAAGTGTTATCGGTTCGTAATGGCGATCTCACCGCTTAAGCAAATGCTAAGTTATGTGGCGGAATCTGCATAACGGGAACAACGCCGAGCACGCGAAAAGACCGTTTCCATTGTTCGCTTAATGTAATATGTATTTATTGTTAAGCAGATAGACACAACTGATTTATACCGTGGCTCTCGGCACGCTACAGTCACGCGCGCTCACGAAATGAGATTACGTTTGGCGATCGCGCCGATATACATTTTTCCCACCCATATAACGCGTGCATCTCTCGCTGAATTTTCCGCTTATTTAACATTTTACATTTTAGCATCCGTTACCTCGATTCGCGGTCGCTCATCCGATTAATTGAAACAGCACGGAGAAAGAAGAAGGAAAAAAAAAAGTTAATGCCGCGGATCGCATGTGAAAAAACTATTAATAAAGTGTATAGTCTCTTAAGATCCATATCGTAATATGTTTTCCACCGTATTCACTTGATGCTTTACCGAGAAAGTAACATAGGGGCGATGATATCTCATATAAACATTATCTGTGGTATAATTATATTGTACGTTATGATACGGTAGAGTCATTGTTATCGTGAATCCTTACGTTTCTAAATCGTATTTGGGATTGAATACAATACTTACATTCCGTGTAACATGTTGAAATAAATTAATATAAAATATTATAATATTTTTCTATAATTAGCATATCATTATTTTGATACTTTTATAACACGAAAAAACTCGGAAATTATTGTTAATTGTTAGTTGTATAATCAAACAGATTAAAATAATTAAAGTGGAAATAGACAGCTTTAAACGCCCGACAGAACAAAAATAAATGTGGTCGCTGATATCTAGCGATCCATCTAATTTCAGAGTTACGTAATTTCTGTAGCTATATGTGTTGCCCGATATGCGGATCACAATCAACAAGTAAATAAATTCATTTTACAACGTCCGCTTAACGTTCTTCTCAGATTGAAGATCACAAAAAAAAATACTTGGCAACGTGAGGTAATGAATCGAGAGAAACGCGGCGCGTCTTTTTTTCTACCAACGGCGGAATACGCCCACCTAATTTTGCCGGATCCTGAATTGTCGAATCTCTCCCTCTTTTCCTCTGTCTCTCTCTTTCTCTCTCTCCCCTCATCTCTCTCCTTTTTTTCTCTCTCTTGCTCTTCTCTCTGACTGTCCCGTATTCTCTTTACCGTTCATCCGTAAAGGACTCCGAAACGATTTTGGCGAAATTGCCGCTGCTGACCAAAAAGTATTTGCCTCCACGATGCCCACAGTGCCCCCAACCCGTCTGTGTGTTTTGATTTGAGTTGCACCGACGGTTCCCTTCTTCTAATCGCTAATCGTGGAAGTCAGAAAACTCTGAATATTCATGCACGTGTGCGTGTCTGCTCGTGATATTCTTGTGAGAGTGATCCGCCGATCGGGAAACGATATTTAAATGCGTCTTGATTTCTATTTATAAATATAGATATATAAGTGCGCGTAAACACAGTAAACACAGTAATTGACACACTGAGTATAATTACAAAAAAAATGTATAATACGTTAAAAGGAAACGTTTGATTGCTCTAAATTGATATGTAATTCCATTTACATGTAAATATGACGTTTCTCTGATATCTCGAAATTTATTACAGCACAGAATACTTTCTCGATATAATCTCTGATTACTGCCGCAACTTATACATGTATGATCGAGGAAACGTTCGCGCTAAGATTGACGCGATGTATCGGCAACGTTGCATATCCATGACGATCCGATAAGAGATTTTCATTCGCGATATCGAAGAATCGACGTAGGAGCGCGCCGACGATCCGAAAGCACTTGCCGCAATATCGAATATCGATGTCGGTATAAGCGTCAGGCCCAATGAATTGGGATTTAAGCTCGCACGAATGGCCGAGGCTCCCTTTCTCCTTCGGTCCGGTAGCAGAGATGGGTGCTATCGCCAATCGAAAAATCATAGGGACCATCATTCTAACTCGACGGCGGCGCGGCGCATCGGAGGCTGCGCGCGTGTGAACGCGCGCGCTAAGATGGCCGTGCCCGTTCGTGACGCGCGCGCGTGTATTCACGGATTCTGCTGCATGTGTGTGCGAGGACTCGCGACTGCGAGACGTCCTTAGGGTCAGTCCGTGCACGGAATGGCGCAGGCACGACGCAAAGGCGACAGTCTACGCGACTCTCCCGCTGACTAACATGGCTAAGTATGCGCCGAACGAACATATTTGCGCGCAAGCGAGAAACGTCCGCGACGGGGAGCGTAAACAGCGTATTATACGGCACGGTTACTGTACGATAATCGAAGTGATCGCCGGGGCATTATCGCTTATTAATAACAGTCGTGAAATTACGGCTTTCCCGAAGGAACAGTTTCTGGACGTTATATCTGTTAGATAAACCTATCCCGCGATATTTCTCACGAGTACATGCATCGCAAAATGGAAATGGCCGCCATTGATAGATGTTACGTAACCAATTATGCATCTCGTGTATTTCTGTTGATTACCTGCCTGCTTATTATCAATTTCACATTCACTCTCTTTCTCTATTTGTTCTCTATTCGTCTCTTTTTTTCGCAATATGCTGTTAACTGTAAAATTATAGATGACACGAATTACAGTATTTTATTACGTAATATGTATTATATGTATTATATATTTCTATCATTGCATCGTATCACGTCAACGGCACGTGCTTAACTAAAAAATAGAGCTAACAAAATATTTTAGATTTATTTTTGATTATCGTAATTCATAAAATTTATTCGCGTTAATTGCAAATAAGAAAATATGTAATTTTTTATACATATAATAATCAGTATAACCAGAACTTTATCTCATTCGTACATTATGTTGTATACTAACGAATCATCGTTTCTCCATTTTTCTGTTTACTGCATTAATATAGCGAGCTTAATTAGTGAGTAATTGTGAGTTCTGCAAAATTTAAGCAAGAGATTTATGATAATAAATATATTAAATCAATTCCATTCAATAATTATTTATATGATATGAATATTCATTGAGAGAGAAATCGTATATTTCAACGCTTTATATTCTTTAGATATATTTGAAATATATCTAAAGAATATAAAGCATGGTAGATTTAAATATCGACAACATTTCCTATGAAATATAGAAATTGTTAATTCTTGTTCGTTAATTATTGACTTGTTTAATGTAGATCTATTTGCTTTCTAATTTTGTGTAATGTATCGCGGTCGTAACTGCAATACTCGAGAACAATGTTTCCTGAAGAAGTACGTAGAAATATCGGTGCACATGGCGTAAAAAAAAAAATACGAACAATCTTAAGATAATTATAAGCTATGCGAAATGACGTTCAGAAAACAGATCGTAGAGTAAACGGGATATAATAATAATAATAATAATAATAACCTGCGAGTCAGAAAGAAGAAGCAAAAAGGTAATGGAATGTCGAGCGAAGCTCGCGGTATGGCGCGGGTAGCGCTCGAAATTATTATTATGGATGCACTTAAGTTCGTGACGTTATCAAGGCAGCCGAACCACCAGAATAAAAAAAAGACTCCGAATACCGTACAGAATTGGAATGTAGCTCAATCCAGTTGTATATAGCCGAAAATTATCTCTCGTAACGGTAGGCCTCATTTAAAAAAATAACATATTTATACTGTGAGATAGATTTTTCACGCTAGCTTGATCGTACGCTAAGGCTAATTTTAATTTTACACACAGCATACACATTAATTTAATACTTTTAGAATTTACAAGCACGTACACGAATACTGTACTCCCCCCTACCGTCTATCTTCTTTATGTTATCCTACCCTAATGAAGATACAAATAGTGATAAAGATTGCGCTATATTTCAGTTCCGTATAATTTAAAATTCTTTTACGTCATGTTAGTAGCTTTGATAACATCACAAATTCGAGTATTTGCAAAACACCGTAATTCGTTGTTACGGTGTTATTCTTTACACATTTAATATGAACTTCGTATGAATGTTGTTCAGCTAATTTAATAATTATTATTATAACGGTGATTATGACATAATAAATTAATTCTGTAAAATTAATAATTTAAAATTAATAAATTTATTTGTCTGTTATTTTATATTCTTGCAAAATGAGAAGTAATGAGCAAAGTTCGTGACACATGTATCAAGGATTATGTGTGCTGATGAATAATATATTAATTCAAAACTTTCTTTGTTCATTGGGATTAATCAATTAGATCATACAAATCAATCGACTGAAACAACGTGTGAAAATGTTTGTACGTAGCCTTCGTTTGTGGCAAAATAAATGTGGAGTACACAATCGTCGCGTGATTGTCTCGCGAATCATAATCATTATTTCTTGGCGGAAATTTTGTCGCAATTAACTTAAGACATCAGCTTTTAGTTAATTGATTTTAATGAAGCTCGTTAAAGTTATTTATATATTGAAACGTTCGTGCTTAACGAAGATACTTGCAAGTATATCTAGTACGACGATGCCGTCGGATGAGAAATTTACTGGATGCGACATCAGCTGCAAATAATTGTGTGAGAGAAGGATTTCTTTAATATATTCTCGCGAAAGAAATATACGATACCCGATTACTTTCATTTAAAAAACTTAATAGGTGAAATAACAATAGCGTTGTGAGATAAAACAAATATTTCATTAAACATCATAAGCTACTTTATGTATGGAAATTTTCCATTTATATAACATGTATATATACTTTACTTTTTATCTGATCTGGAGTAAATATGTTCTAATCGTGAATTAAAAAATCCCGTTTGAAGTGGCGAGATATAAGAAGAAAACGGTCGCATGTAACAAGATTACCTTACGCATGTTATTTCTTCGGAAAAGTATGTAATAGCTATTCCGCTGAATACAGTAGCTACGTCGCTGATTAAAGCCCAGCTGGAGAACGGAGTTCATTGACTATCGACGCACCAACTCACTGTAACATCACCGCATCCGCCGATGATTGATATAAATTGCACACTTCTCGCAATATCGCAAGACTGTTTGAACGGATGACAATATATGGAACACGATTCCATCACGAGGCATCGGTTGATCCATGCTTCTTAGACAGACTTCAACGGTAGAATGACAGAAGCGCAGCGACGCGACACGCATACCTACTCAAACACTGGCACACCGGTTGACGCACGCACTTACAACACAGGATGGAACATGCTAGAGAGGCATTACAGTCAAGGTTCGGCAGGAGGAAGGCTGATTACCCCTTTATGACGCGTCAAGGCCTCGCTGAGACAGAGGCTCTGTCATTTCAGTGGATCGGATACGCGTTTTTCTTGCGTCCTTTATTGTCAAAAAAATCGAAGCACTATACTCTTTTTTTCCATTTTTTTTCTTTCTTCGTACCTGTGTAAAAAAAGGGTACTTTGTAATTTTGAATGTCGGTGGACGTTAAATCCTTCGTAGGATAAAGACCGAACGGGATCTCCTTAGGCCGCGTGTACGAAAGAAAGGGTTGCTATTTGCCACGGTGGTGTCTTAGCCTTGACGTGCCTCAATAAAACGTACAAAACAACCCTTTTCAGCTGACCGCTCATCGTTGGTGATCCAGGTTCTTAGCCTTGACTTAGCCTAAAGTGCGGTTAATAGCGCCGCAGACGCTTTTTTTTTAATGGATACAAGACTTGTTAAAAATTTTCCGGTTGCACCTATGTCGCTCACGAATTTATCCCAACATACTATTGTTTGTGACCAGAAAAGAACTTTCACATGCTGCAAACATGTTTCTCGTCGATAAATTACAAAGTAAAGGTACATATGTGCACTAATAACTAACATACATTTATATGTATTTATATAGTGTAATTACAATTGCTGAAATATGAACAAACGAATGTAGCTTTTCATTTCTAACAGATTTATTTTAATTTTAATATAAAACTCGATTGTGTGTACACAATAATTATTATAATATTTATAGATTACAGTAGAAGATTTTAAAAACTGATTTGTTACAGCACGTTACGTAAACTGACTTGTGCATGTGCGTAAAGAAACATATTTCTTGAAATTCTTCCGCAAATAAGTCGCCCTGTGCAGCGTTAAACGCGCAAAAATTCAACTTCAACAGTTTCACGTGCCGGAACTTGTTTCAGGCAAATTTACAATATCGATATATGTCGTTGAATCTGATGCTTTTTCGAAAAGACTTGCTTTACATGTTGCATGAAGATTCTTCGTGTTCAGCTCGTCCGCCGACATTCTTTGTGCGCCTAATAAAAATAATCCCAATAAAGTACAGCACAGTGAGTTACGAGCTGTAC